TTTTATTCTCAAATAATAAATAAACAAACAAACAAATAAATAAATAAATAATAATAAATTAATAATAAATAAATAAATAAATAAATAAATAAATAATAAATAATAAATAAATAAATAAATAAATAAATAAATAATAAATAAATAAATAATTGCAATTTGCTGCAGGCGGTATCCGGACGTGCTGGTCCACAGGAGCCTCGCGGCGCTGATTGAGGGAAAGCAAAAGCCGCCTTTGGATGTTGTCAGTTTTAAAAAAATGAATTTAATGGAATTAATTTAATTAATTTAATTGATTTAATGGATTTAATGGATTTAATTTAATTAATTTAATTAATTTAATTAATTTAATTAATTTAATTTGTTTTATTTCATTTATTTGATTTATTGCAATTAGTTTGGTTTGATTTGGTTCGGTTTGAGTTCAGTTGTGGACTTTTTTGGATTTGTTTGTTTTTGGAATTGGTGAAGTCTATTTCATAATGTTTATTATTTATTTATTTATTTATTTATTTATTTATTTATTTATTTGTTTGTTTATTATTTTTATTATTTTTACGTTTATTTGTCATTCATTTGTTTATTTGTTCATTTGTTTGTTAGGGTTTACTTAATTATTTAATTATTTATTCATTGATTCATTATTTATTATTATTTTTATATCAATTCATCTTTCTTTTGTTATTTATTCATTTGTTTATATTTTATTTATTTACTTATTATTTATTTATTTGTTATTTAGTTATTTGTCATTTATTTTCTACTTATTCATTATTTTTTGTTATTTTTTTAATCTATTTGTCATTAATTCGCTTATTTATTCATCTGTTTTTCATGTTTTATCTATTTATTTATTTATTTATTTATTTATTCATTTGTTATTTATTATTTATTTATTTATTTATTTATTTATTTATTTATTTATTATTTTATAGGAAGCAACTGAGGCGATTTGCAACGTGTGCAACGACATAAACAAAAATATGAGAGAAGCTGACAAAGCCTGTGGACTGGTGAGGGTTTAGGGTTTAGGGTTTAGGGTTTAGGGTTTAGGGTTTAGAGGCTAGGCTTGGTGTTTGGGGAAGGCAGAACTGAGGGTGGCTGTCAAGGGGCTTCGCATGCTCAAGTCGCGGGTTTCAGGGTTTAGGGTTTGGAGTTTAGGGTTTAGGGTTTAGGGTTTAGGGTTTAGGGTTTAGGGTTGTCTTCGCTGCTTATCAGGCCGTATTGAACATCTACTTGAGGCGGCAGAAAGAAGCGATGGACACAATTGGTAAACATTCTTTAAATAAATAAATAAATAAATAAATAAATAAATAAATAAATAAATAAATAAATAACAAATAATAAACAAACAATAAATTAACTGCCCTAATAAATAATAGATAATTTTTTTGTTTTTATTTCCTGTTTATAGCGCTCTGCGGTATCTGTATGCTGATGCTGCTCTTTGCATTGCTTTTTTCCCCCTCATTTTAGGGTTTAGGGTTTAGGGTTTAGGGTTTAGGGTTTAGGGTTTAGGGTTTGCGTTTCAGGAGTTGTGCTAAGTGTGGACGAGCATTCTCTGTCAGTGTTTTTGCCTGAAGTGGACTCCGAGATAGTGAGGGAAACTGGAATCAAATAATTTAATTAATTAATTAATTAATTTAAATTAATTAATTTAAATTAGTTAATTTATTAATTTAAATTAATTTAAATTAATTATCAATCAAATTAATTAGTACTAATTAATTAAATAATATCCATTAAATTAATTAATATCAATTGATTAATTAATATTGGTCCAATTAATAATAATTTAATTTCATTTAAGAGTTGAAACTCATTACATATTATGTTTTATTTCATTTAAGAGTTGAAACTCATTACATATTATGTTTTTTTGAAATGAAAATAGAATTAATAACAAATTATAAAAAGCAAATAATAAATAATGAATAATAAATAATAAATAATAAATAATAAATAATTTGGAAAGGAAAGAAATAAACGTGGAAGAGAAAACTTTCTTTTGAATTGCAAATGAAGTCTTTTATTTTCTTTTTTATATTAAAAAAGTAATAAATAAAAATTGCTAATTGTGTATGGCCTTCTTGCAATAAATGAAATGATAATAATAAATAATAAACAATAAATAATTAGCAATAAATAATAAAGAATGAAAAATAAATAATAAAGAATAGTTGAAGTAATAAATAGTAAATAATATATAATATATAATAATTAATTAATAATTAATAACCAAAAATAAATAATAAATTGATTTAAATTCGATTTTATTTCCTTTTTGTTTTTGCAGAAAATTTACTACAGAGGAATTTACAGCAAAAGAATTCCTGAGCAGTTGAAGGTGAAATTAAAAAAAGAAAAATAAAATTAATTATTTAACTTTTAAATTTAATTTCAAACAAAGCAAATCATTTATTATTTATTTATTCATTTATTTTTATTTATTTATTTTTATTTATTATTTTTTATTTATTTATTTTTCTTTTTTTGAATCTGCAGAAAGGGCTTGTGCAGCCACAGGGGCAACAAGACAGTCAGAAGCAGGCAAGGAATTTAATTTTCTGAATTCAAAAATAAATAAATAAATAAATAAATAAATAAATAAATAAATTTATAAATTCAATTTAAAGAAAGTGTTTATCTCTTTTTGTGCTTTGGATCCAGTGTAGATACACCGCATTAATCTCAGTGTACACCCACCCCGTTTCAGGTGTACGTGCAGCTTCCCAAACCCTAAACCCTAAACCCTAAACCCTAAACCCTAAACCCTAAACCCTCATTTTGCACTTATTTGAACTCAGGCAACATTTCTTTGGCCGGCTTTTGACAGGAATCCTGAAGAGACGCAAATTGTGACGGTGAGCAGTTGAGGTGTATGTACACCTCGGCTTAGGTGTGCAGCAAATTGTGACGGTGAGCAGTTGAGGTGTATGTACACCTCGGCTTAGGTGTGCAGACCCTCGAGTGAATTCAGGTGTACGTACACCTCAAAAAAGCGCCTTTTTCGAGTCTTTTGCAATTTAATTCAATTTTGCAAATTAATTCCAGTGTACATACAGTCTTTTGCAATTTAATTCCATTTTGCAAATTAATTCCAGTGTACATACACCCCAATAAAAGCAACCACTGGTCCGCCGCTTCTGAGGTGTACGTACACCTGAACTCCACATAAATGTTTAAATCCATTTAAATGGATTTAAACATTTAAATTAATTCAATTAGTTCAAATTTATTCAATTAAATCTTTTAATTTCTTCAGGTTTCTGAAGTTGTGCCGCTGCTGCTGATTCCTCTTGCGGAAATTCCCGCGACTTTCGGCGGGGTGTTCATACACCCCAAAAACAGACAGGCGCAAATCACACTCAGCAAAAAAGATTCAAGTAGGAAGCATTTGCTGCTGCTGCTGCTGCTGCTGTTGCTGCTGCTGCTGCTGCTGCTGCTGCTGCTTGTGCTGCTGTCTTTGCTTCTGCTGGTGCTCCTGCGGCTGCGGCTTGTGCTGATCGTGCTGCTGCTGCTGCTGGCTCTCCTGCTGCTGCTGTTAGTGCTGCTGGTGTTGCTGCTGCTCCTGCTGCTGGTGCTCGTGCTGCTGCTGTTACTGCTGCTGCTGCTGCTGCTGCTCGTGCTGCTGCTGTTACTGCTGCTGCTGCTGCTGCTCGTGAAATCAATCATGTGCAGCACTTCTCAGAAAATAACAAAAGTTTAAAATGAAAATAAACAAATGCGGAAAAATGAAATGCTTGTGAGGTGTACGTACACCTCGTCTTTTCTGTGTTTGCAGTTCTAAAAGGCTTCTTCAAAGAAGAATGCAAACCGGCGCCCTAAGTGCAGCAGCAGCAAGCAGCAGCAGCAGCAGCAGCAGCAGCAGCAGCAGTAGCAGCAGCAGTAGCAGCAGCAGGAAAAGGGGTGCAGCAGCGGCGTGAGTAGTGTCCCTGCTGCAGCTATGCTGCTGCTCCAGGTGCAGCAGCAGCTGCAGCATTATGAGTAGTTTACCTGCAGTCTTTTTGCTGCTGCAGTTGCAGCAGTAGCAGCAACAGCGAAGACCAACAGCAGCAGCAGCTTGAGTAGTCTCCCCGCAGCTGCTTTGCTGCTGCTGCAGTAGCAGCAGCAGCAGCAGCAACACCCCAAGAACTTTCGTAGCAGTTTCGTGTAGCTGCTGCCGCCGCAGCAGCAGCAGCTGTTGCAGCAGCAGCTCCTGCTGCAGCTGCCCCAGTTCCTGCCTCTGCCTTTGCAGCTGCTGCAGCAACCACTGCCGCTGCAGCAAATGCTGCTGCTGCTGCCACTTCAGCAACGTCTGCTGCTGCTGCTGCTGCTGCAGCAGCAGAACTTGTCATTTTTAGTTCGCATCTTTTGTCCGCAAAATGCGTTGAGGTGTACGTGCAGCTGCTGGCCGCGAAAAGAAGAATTAAAAAGTTCAAAATTTAATTTGGCAAATTTATTTATTTCTTTTTTTGCTTCTTGTCAATAATAATTTTTCTTTTTCTGCTGCTGTGCTGAAGAAATATTTCTTTTTCTTTTCACAAAATGCACAAAATAGTAAATTTGAGTATTACAATAAACTTCAATTAATAATAAATGAAGAAGTATTTATAATTTATTTTTTTCTGTGCAAAAATAAATGAAGTGTACGTACACCCGAACGCTCACGACCGTGGGGTGTACATACACCCGAAACTGCGCCAAAAAGGCGCGAAATTTGACGGAGATTTTATTCAAAATAAAAAATAAAAAGAATTTAAATTCTAAAAATGATAAATGGATGAAAAAAACAATAAAAAGATATCCATAAATGCATGCAAATGCCCACAAATGTGAGGCCTTTTTCCCAAGAACAAATAAATCTGCAAATAAAAAAACAATAAAAAGATATCCATAAATGCATGCAAATGCCCACAAATGTGAGGCCTTTTTCCCAAGAACAAATAAATCTGCAAATAAGGCATTTGAACTTAAGTTTAAAATCTTGTTTATATTTGAAGTATAAATATATATAGAAGTTTGTATTTATATTTACGCAAATATAAATACAAATGCAAGTATTTATATTTACATGGATATAAATACAAATGTTTATATTTACACAGATATAAATAACATATTTATATTTGCATTTATATTCAAAATTGCATTTTATTTATATCCATATTTGCATTTGTATTTTTACTTCAACAAAAAAACAAATTTGGAACTCCAAAAAGATGCATATTTGAAGACAAAAAGAAAACTTCATTTATAATTTCATTTATATTTTCATTTAGATTTCCATAATGCACTTTTGAAATAAAAATCTTTTTTTTAATTCACTAAAAAACAAAATGTCTATTTTGATGTCTATACACCTCAGGCGCCTGTGTACGTACACACGAAAAGGGACTTTTAAAAAAACAATTTGGAGAAAAAAGAAATAAATTTGGAAAAGAAAACTTTCTTTTGAATTGCAAAAGAAGTCTTTTATTGTCTTTTTAAAATTAAAATGAATTTACTTGGAATTAAAAAAAGGAATAAATTTAAAATGTTACTTGTGTGTGGCTCTGTTGCAAATTAAATGAAGTTTTGTTTAAAATGCTGCATTTGAAAAAGACTTTCGAAAAAGATTTCAACATTTAAATAAATTCAAATAAATATAATTAAAACAAAATATAATCTATTTATTTATTTTCTTGTTTTATGCCATTTCACAAAAAAAAATTTTTATTTACAAGGCTATTATTTACACAAGACGCACATTTGTATTTGCACATTTACTTTCCTATTAATTTAGTTTTTTCTCATTAAATTTGCTTTTATTTTCTTTGATTTTCATGTTTTGCATTTGTTCACTTTTAGGAAAAACGTCCAAATGTCTTTTTTTCAAGAAAGTTCGTTTTCGAGTTAAGTCTTCAAACAATTAAATAAATAAAATAACTTTTCAAAATAAGTGTAAAGTAAAAATAAAAATAATAATCAATTAAATCGAATTAATTGTAAATATGAGTTTCCTTTGCTTAAAATTGAAAATAAAATTCAAAGAAATGCATTTAAATGAACTAAATAAACATAAAAGATGAAAGGAAATGCAAGAAAAAATAAAAAAGCCTTTAACCTTTTTTTGTTTTTTTTCCTTCATTTGCTGCTTCGTTTGTTCAGATTTACTTTGACGTTTTTGGTCCTTTGTTTTTATTTGTTTTTGTTTTTACTTGTTTTTCTATTTTTGTTTCTCCTTGTTCTTGTTTATTCTTCTATTTGCAAAATGCATTTTAAATAAACCCATTTGAAGCTAAAAGCTGGCTGATTCTTAAATAATAATAAATAAAAAACTAAAAAGGTGGAAAGGTAAATAATTAAAATGTAAATAAAAAGGTTAAGATAAATGTCAATTCGGCAATCGATGAAATAATTAAATAATTAAATAATAGTCGAATAATTAAAGCATTGTCATTTTATTTATTTTATATTTTGACGAAAAAATAAAATTAAAAATTATAAAATAAACGGTAAAAACACTTTATAATGGCTAGGCGCAGCGACGCACAAAGAGAAATAATAAATAAATAAATAAATAAATAAATAAAATAAATAGTAAATAACAAATGATTAGGAAAAAATATTAAAACAGATATAAATAAATAAATAAATAAATTAGTTAGTTCCGGAAACAAAAAGCCAATAAGAGCCTGGAACTCATTTTTGAATATTTTTTTGTTTGTTTTATTCTTTCTTTTCAAAAAGGCCTCTACACGATTTAATGCTTTTGATTAATTATTTATGTACACTTATTTACTTATATATTTATTTGTTTATTTATTCATTTATTTATTTATTTATTACTTATTTGTTCACTTTTTATTTTTTGGTACCTGTACAAAAGAGAAAAGTGTTTTTTCGCATTTTCACCAAAATATTTCAAAAGTGAACTTTTACATTTTTGCATGCAAAATAAAAGCCATTAAATGGATAAAAGGCCTCAAAAGAAATATAACTATTTAAATAAAATGCATTTATCTTTTTGCGAAAAGAAAAAACGCAGAAATGGACTTTTTGCGTTTTTACCCCAAGACAGCATGCGCGGCGTCTATACAGCGGAACAAATGCATGTTGAAGTGTACAATGTTTTTCAAATGACAAAATAAATGAAACATGCATTTATTTACATCAATTTAAAGCATTTATTGCACTAATACAACCAATTTAAAGTTCTTAAATGCATAAATGCGCGGCGGACGGCGATAATGGATTTATTTGTCGCTGCGAAATTAGGAAAAACGCCCTGGGCTGCGCACTTCAAGAAACACCTCAAAACGAAGAAATGCAGGCTTAAATGTGCTCAAATTGCGTTCAAATTGCGTTCAAAATGCAAAAGTTTGCAAGTATTTTAATCTGGCCAAAAGAAAATGCATTTATTTCTGAAAAATTCGGAAAAAATCGACTAAACGGCGCTGAGAGGTGCATGCAAGTCTGCAGTGTACGTACACCCGAAAGCGCATGCACGCCCGGCACTCTGAAGCGTCAAGATCTGATTTTTTTGACGCAATTTCTCCGTTAAATCTGATCTTTTGGGAAAATAAATGCAATTATTTCGATAAATGAAAAAGAGAAGGCACTGCATGCAATTGTTTTTTCATTTGAGCGATATCTCTGGAAATTCGAAGGGGGTCCTGTTCGGGTGTACGTACACCTCAGAGTCTGGGCTGGCTGAACTGGTAAAGAGGCTCACTCTAAGTTGAGTCTAATTTGTTTTTTATTTGTTGTTTATTTGTTGTTTATTTGTTTTATTATTTGTTTGATTATTTTTTTTCTTTTATTTCTCTCTGTTCTACTTTCGGGGGCCGCGCATGCAGCGAGTACAAAAAAGCATTAAAATGGGAAATTGATGAATAAAAAATAAATAAATGAATAAATAAACAAATAAATAAATGAATAAATAAATGAATAAACTTTGCAAACAAACAAACAAACAAAGT